CTGCCGACTCCACCCTCCATCCTCACTTCTCAGGACACTACCCCTCTACCCCGCACCCCAGTCCCCCCAGACTATTCACAGCCCCGAACCCACACATTTCCTCTTCTATCCTGCTACAACTTTATCAGTTGTGCTCATTCCTGCGAATCCTTCACACCAAGTTCAGATGCCTCCTCTCCTGGGAAGTCCTCCCTGACTGCTCCCCTCTCCCACTCTCCATAAGTTAATTGTCCCCACTCTGTCCAATCCATCTCATTTTAGCACTGACCCCATAAGGGTCAGGTAGTCCTACAGGGTAGAACTAACACAGGGACATGGATATGAGCTCTTCAGAGCTAAGAGCCACGAGTTATGAGTTCCTGCTATATTCCAGGCACTGTGTGAGGCTCTGCAGATGGTACCAATTTCTAGCCTCGATATTTATATTGGTATTTATGACTATCAGCCCATTTTACACAGGAAGAAACCGAGGCTCTAAGACATAAAGGAATTTGTCATACAGAGTTTTGTTTTGGAGGTGAGATTTGAAACCAGGTCTGTTGCCGAAAAACAGAGCTTGTTCTTTTGCCATGCTGCCCTGTGTGTGGTTTATTCTTACCCCTTAGCCTCGAGCTCAACACACAACAGGCCCACAGGGACTGTTTGGGTGAGAGTTGCCTCATTGCCCACTAAACCACAAGCAAGGCAGGGGCCACAGAGAGTCATCGCCAGGACCCAGAAGAGAGACTGTCACAGTTTTGATGTTGGGTGGACGGAAGGACAGGTGAAGTCAGGAGGTGGAAGGAGGGTCTCCTTCCATGGCCCAGTGGAGGGACATGAATCAGCCCGACTACAGGCTCTCTCTCTGGGAGGGGGGCTTATCAAAATGGCCATGACAAGGACGTCGCATGTCCACAGCAAGTCAAAACACTCCTGTTTCCTCCAGCCATCCAACCGTACACTTCCCCATCTGATAATGTCAAGGCTAAGCATTTGCCTCTGCCTCCAGGAAGCCTCCACTGACTTCCCCTATCACATGGAGCTCCTGGCAGAGAAAGGATCATCTCCCCACATCCAGGTGGGCACCTAAGGGCTCTGGGAAGTCCTGGGCTGTTCCCAGACCACAGAAAGTTTTGGATGCCCCACCACCACCACCGCCTACCCCCTCACCCCCTGTCACTCCCGGAGCCCAGTCTTGGGTCCAAGGCCTTAGCTCCAGGCAAAAGATCAGAAAGAACCTTCCCAGGAAGCAGGCCTCCTGCAGACTGTGAGGCCCAAGGTCGGACACCCTGTCTGAGCCTTCCTGGGCTTGTTTTCCTTCTTTTGAGCCTGGAAGGGGCCACGGCCGCAGAAGGGCGAGATCCCGCTGGCCGCTGGCACGGGAAGCGTGTGTCACAGCAACTCGGCCTGTCGCCTCAGATTTTCCTCTGGACTCCAGCCTGGCTCAGGCCCACACCGCCCCCCTCCCTTCTTCACCACAGCCTTATTTTTAGCCTCTTTCCTAGAGGCTGAGGTTTGGTGGGTCACAGGACGGGCCGCACGCCCAGGAGCGCCTCCCACAGCTCAGGCCAAGCCCACCCCACCAGCCCTAGAGCATGCAAGGTGAGCCTCCCACATAGACGTCACAGCCACCCCAAATCCACATCCAGAAGTGTCCTCTGGCCACAGCATCCTCACCCTGTCAGAACATGTTCTGGAACAACAGGAGTGCCTGGATTTTCTCATCTATCAATAGCGGTTACGCCCTCCCAAGCCCCTGAGCCTGAGGGTCTCATCTCTTGTCCAAGGCTAACTGTCCCCTGCTCTAAGCCAACTGTCTCACTTTCAACTGCCTGGCTTGGCCGGTGCTTTCAGTCTCCCCCTGGCTTCTGGATCCTGCACATCAGCCCACAAACGTGCTCACACAGCTCTAACCCTGGTGGTAAAAACAACCCTGATTTGTCCCCTCTGCCACTCCTTCCCTCCTTCCTCCTCCTCTTCCTCTCCTCCCTCTACAGCTAAAGTTTTTGTTGTTGTTTTTTTTGAGTCAGGGTCTTACTTTATTGCCCAAGCTGTAGTGGTGCAGTGGCATGATTCCAGCTCACTGCAGCCTTGAACTTCTGGGCTCAAGCAACCCTTCTGCCTCAGACTCCCAAGTGGCTGGAACTACAGGCACGTGTCACCATGCCTGGCTCAGTGTTTTAATTTTTTGTAAAGACAGCACTGGCTATGTTGCCTAGGCTGGCCCTCAAACTCCTAGATTCAAGGAATCCTCTCACCTTGGCCTCCCAAAGCGCTGGGATTACAGACATGAGCCACCACACCCAGCTGAAGCTCTTGAAGAGCTCTCTCCCCTTCCCAACTCAACACCCTCACCTTCATTCCTCCCCTTAAGCCAACCACCTCCTAGAGGCTCAACTCCACTCTCATCCGTCAGTTTCCCAGTCTCCAGACTCTGACTCCACAGCTCTCCGTTCCCTGAGTAACGCCACTGCAGCACCCAGGCCAGACACCTGGGAATTGGTTGTGACATCACCACCAACACCACCCGCCCCCCCCCC